CCGGGGCCTTTAAACACACACCATATTTTAACGCCCCCCCCCCCACCCCCGATTAACTCCTGCCTCTCTTTCCATGTTTGTATTCACCCCATTCCTTCTCCTCCTGGTAGTTTCCAATAATTCCAATTCCAGGAAAAACGGGGCACATTTACAACTACTCTATGGGATAGCTAAAATAAATTTCCCTGAATATCATCAAAAGCTGGCCATAAGTAATAGCCCCAGTGCCCTCCCACGTGCAAGTAGTCCATTACAATGAAAGGGTGAGAGATGGAAATTTGGGATTTAAATCTTGGGACATATTTAGGGAGAGAGAGAGAACGAAGTCCTGAGCTGATCTACTCAGTCTGAATCCTGCCTTTCCCGTGCGAGCTGGTTGAGTGCTGCTTGAGTTCTGAAATCTGAATTATTGCCGAGCGCCGGGGTTGGGCCTGATCTGCCCGTGAGCCTCCGAGAGGCTTCTGGATGCCCTGGGCGAGCGCGGGATGGTGGATTAGATCAGACACGCTCGCCTTGGCTCAAGGGATGTCACAGTCCCAGCGCATCTGGGGGGCATCGGGTTGCGGAAGGCTAACGTAGACCTGAAAATGCCAGCAGTCTGGAAGCCAGTGCTGGAGAAAGGAAGCCGGTCTCCTTGGGGGGCGTGAGAAGCGATAGGACCTTTTCCAAAGAGGCTGGGCCTGGAGATCCAGAAGGAGCTCGGGTGTCCGTGGGGGAGCAAGTCACATCACGTGCATCATTGTGCAAATGACACCCTCGAGGCAACTCCTAGGTGCCTATGCTGGAAAGATGTTGCCCACTAAGCCCAGACGTTATGGCTTAGAAGGAAGGATATAGCCAGCCTCTCTGGCTTGCATTTTATGGCTTGGTCGTGTGAATCCAACGGTTGGGTTTCTCCAGAGTTGTCTCCCTCCCCTTTGCATTCTTGGTTTCTCCTTGTCCGTAGCCTGCCTTCCTCTTCCACAAGCTGTGCTTCCCTCTAGGGCTGGTGTGACTTTTCGACGCCCAACTGGTTGACAGCTTTCGCCCAGCGGCTTTCACTTTCCCTTCCCTGAGCAGTTGGACTGTCTGAGACCATGCTGTGCCCGCAGAGCAGCTCAGCCAATCAGGCCCAGCGGGTAAAAGGGAGGTCATTTGCATGTTTAAAGGGGCCCTCGCGCACCAAACTTTGCCTGGCACTCACCACGGCGGTCTGAAACACGATGCTGTTTCAGCAGGGAGGGAGCCAAAAAAAATTAAGATGGGGCCATGCATGTAAAGAATGGGGGGCTGTGATTGGGTGGGGGGCCGCTCTCTTGAAGCCCCGGCTTTGAGGTCTTCGCGCGTTAGGGTCTCAGCCATCTGATGACGAGGTGTCCGTCACTGATGCGCCCCAGTCCCACTTCACCAATCAGTTCCTGATGACCGCTGGATGCAGAGAACGGACGCTTCGGGGTCATCGGGCGCTGGTCCGGCTTTCCGCAGTCCGGCTCCGGCTGCCGTGTCCTGGCTTGTCCCAAAGCAAAGGAAGGTCGGGATCTTGAAGGATGAATGAGGAATGACACGATGCCACCGAGAGGGCTCCCCTGGGGTTCCAAATGTCACGAAAGCCGGCTGGGCGACTTTGGGCCAGTCCCTCTCTCTCAGCCCAACCCACCTCACAGGGCTGTTGTTGTGGGGAAAATAGGAGGAGGAAGGAGTGTGAGGGATGTTCGCCGCCTTGAGTTACTTATAAAAATAATAAAGGCATGACCAAAAAAACCCTTAAAAAATCTTTTAGACTATTTTATTTTATTTATACAATTTCATCATTGGGGGGGGTCATCAAGGTATGGTTAAAAAAGTCAAGACGGTGGCTGTTATGGTATGAGTGAACTTTGATTACACCATTCTGGCTGCCATCTTGACTTCTGTGACCCTACCCTGCTGACATTCCTGTCATTAAAAAAAATCCCCAAGGGGGACTACCACTCCCATAATCCCTTGCTGTTGGCCACACTGGCTAAGGCTAATGGGGGCATCTGGAGGCCACGAGAATGCATGGAGTGACGTAAGTGAGAAAGAAGAGACTGGGTTCCCATATTGTGGCAAGCCATAGTTTGCTTCCTTAGGGCTTAATGAATAAACCATGATTGGCTGGGCTCACACATCACACTAAGCCATAAACAGTGGGTGCAACTCAAGATACACGTAGTATGCTAAACCACAAACCAGCAAACCACATTACGGTTTGATGCGCACATTATATTAATGCCGGTTGTTCGGTTTGGGCTTGTGTTGTGCGATCCCACCTAATGATAATTTATTTGACAAACTGGTTTAACCATGGCTTAGCGTGAGGTGCGAAAGCTTGTCAGTTTCTGCCGTGGCTGAGTGGAAAGAGGTGGCTGGCGGGCTGAACAGAAACTAAGAGGCCAGTTAGGCGTGGGGAAATAATGGTGAGTTGGAGTTGATTTTTCACAGCTGTAATTATTCGTGGGGATAATCCTGGGTTTATATTGTCTCCTTTATTTTTTGCTGTTTGAAAATGCAGTTCTCGTTTTGAATTTTTTAATTGTCTGGAAGTGCTGTTCCCATCAAGACTCGGGAATTAACGTGAATGTCCCGCGTTTTCCAGCTGAATTTGCCACCCGGCTGGCTCCAGCCGTGGGCGGCCAGGTGGCTGCCGAGAGTCCCCCACGGGGCACGCGGGGCTGTGGCCGGCATTCACGCAGAAGAGAAAAGGTCCAGTTTCCCTTGAGTCGAGCTAGGCCTCTGGGGTCTTCAGGGACACATCCCTGTTCTTTTCTTGGCCATAACACGGAAGAGGTTTTCCACTTCCTTCTGGGGTACTTTTCAGATTCTCAGCCTAGCCAACCTTTTTGAGATTTCCTAGTGGTCCCCCATCCAGGTAATAATCAGGGCCAACCTTGCTGAGCTTTTGGAGATCCGCCAAAGTCAGCTAGGTGCTCGCACAGGACTTCAAAAGAAGCGCCTCCTGAAGCTGCAAATCTCCCCTGAGAGGTACCTCTTTCCTTGAGCCACCGGACAAATAATCCAACTGATTATAGGAAAAAGAAGAAATAAGCTTTGGCTATGGGAGGGAGGGAGGGAGGGAGGGA